GCCCCTCAATGACAAAACCCTTTTGAAACGATTGTAGTTGCGTTGCCACGCAGGTAGGCAGGATTACTGGGCTTTTTTTAGTTTGTACCCTGCATCTTGTGACGTTGTCTGCCTGGATTTCGCCATTCCAGGCAGAAACTTTCTTTGACTGACGTGCAGAAGCAGACGGCAGAGGTCCCACCAAAAGAATTCCAGAGCCGTGGGTCACTTCGGTACCAGTTTGGCAGTGAATTGCTCCAGCTTCCTGTGCACTTATTCAGAATAAAAAATGTGGAGAGTCAGGTAAAGACCAGCCACTGGAGGATGGAATCTGTGCATGTGGGAAACGGTGCGTGTGAGCTTCCTGCTTCTCAATCTTCCTGCAGATAGAGGAAAGCCTGCAAGACCTGGTAGAGACCACGTCTGAACAGCTTCCCAGCGACGCACCGGCAAAAGCCCTCAAGCTTGTGCACCTCTTCCGTGCAGCCAACGAGGAGAACTACGAGTCGGTGTGGAAGCAGTTCTCCAGCCGACCAGCGTACAGGTACAGGCGATATGAGTGGAGATTCCTCTGCTGATGAACTCCGCTGGAGACCGCCCAGAACGACTGTTCAAACGCAGGTCTGGAAAACGGTCCTTGCCTTTCCCATTACAGGCGCTTCTTTTTGGATATAGTTTCTGCAGTTGCCAGTCACCGAGCGCTCAGGTTCTTGAGGCAGAAAATGGAAAGGCAAGAACTCACCAACTGGGAAGTGGCTCAGACGGTGCTGGTGGCTCTGCACTCAAGCCCACCGACGCGGGACGTGATGGAGGAAGCAACGGTAGGATTCTCTAAACACTCTCGAGTCGCTCTTTACTGATTTCAGCTTCTGCCATATTTATTCCTTTGACAAGATGGTGAAGGATTTGAAAATATTGAGGTTTTATATCCTCCAGCGACATTGAAAGGAGTTTTTCCTGTATCTCTTAAGGCAAGGAGAATGCAAAGCAAAAGGGCAAAAATGAATCCAGAATGAAACAGGAAAGAGTAAAATACCCCTCAGGGACCCAAGTTATTGCTGCAAACAGTGGCTTCCAGTCTCTCTTTGTCCAAACATACTTTACAATTACATCAGATTAGATCTCTAACTGAGTGTCTGCGAAGACCAGGGAATAAGAAATACGTATTTGTTATATCCGTGTATTCCTCCTGATTGACCTAGCAGGATGGGTACAAATTGGAACAGATCTATTGAGATCAAGGGAATTACGCCGATGTGGAGCCCACATAGGAGAAAGTCTAACGATTTTTACAATTTTTTCTTCTGCAGGGTCTAATTCTAGCCTCAGATGCAGGACCTTATCTGTGCCTACCCTAGGTAGAGACCGCCAAACTCAGTCTGAGTTTCGCCCTCTGTAAAGACCATGACAGCCCAGCCATGGTAATGCTTTGCTTCCCGCTCAAGGAAGCAGTGGGCTGGTGCCTCCTGTCAGCTCCAACATTTATATGAAATATTCCTGACCGCCCAAAGCACTGAGATCTATTCACAATGGTTCTCAAGTTTTTTCTGCCCATAGCTGAGGGGATTACAAAACAATGGTGAATGATTCTTGAATAATGTGTGTTTTTCCATTCCATAACCAGGTGATTTCCTCCCTTCGGATTATAGCCTATGCCAAAGTTAAATCTGAAACCCTGTGAAAGCAACAGACCTGCCTTCCAGATGTTACTTGGAATGACTTTACAATCACATTGTCAAATACAGTAATATCCACTGATTAACTATAAACCCATTGGTAGAAAAACATCAGAAGCCTGGTTTTGCCTTGCGTTTGGCAGAACATGTTTTTTAGTATTGTTGCTCTTCACTAACGGTGGTAACGAACAACCGCTTTCTCCCCAGCTCATTGTGAAAAAACATTGCCCACGCTCCAGCACTGCCCTTGGAAAGGTTTGCCATCTCAGCTACGCGTCCCTGTGCCACAAACAGTGCTCTTCATCAGACTCCTGCTCTGAATGTCTCCAGGTAACCACACTGTTATTTATGGTTTACAATAAAAATTAAGTCCTGAGTTCTTTCTTCATTATTCAGAAACCTGTATTTCACTTCACCGCAGCATTTCCTTTGGGGAAAGCAACCCCCGTTGGTTAAATAGAGCATTTTTATCTTTAGATTAACACACGAAAGAGAGTGAGAGGAAGAAGCATATAATTCATAGCACTTTCTATTGGAGTATCTCTGAGTGCTTTATTGCCAATTATTAATGAAGTCCCATGGCGCTGCTCTGAAATACTTTAAATATAGGTGCTTCTATATACTAATAAATAAACTGACACAAAAGCCCGGGGTTTTGCCTGAAGTCATGTAGCCAGGCCATTTCTCAGCCAGGAGCAGAGCCCAGTCATCCACACAGACTATAAGCTTCCAGTAATACTAATACCCTCCCTGTTCTGCACTGCTGTTAATCAGTGGGTCTGAAAACAGTGCAAATAGGCAGTAAACGGCATTTCCTGGTTCTACAGATGCATGTCATCATTTACAGAGGTTGGCCACTCAGCCAGGGATAGAGAAGGAAAAAGAAACATGTGTTTTCAGACTTCAACACTGGGCAGTCCAGCATCCCCAGTAAGAGCAGGGTGTTCCCAATACATCGTGTGCCTGCCATGGTTTTTTTTCCTGCAGTACACAGGCATGGCCAACGTTCCTACATGCATCTCCTGCACTAGGATTGCCACCAATGCTCTTCAGCTAATTACATCCGAGAAGCCCAGTCCCAGGGAATGGAAGTTCTTTCCCAAAGCAAATGATGGTATAGGCTTATTCAAGGCATTTCAAAAATCCATTCATTTGATTAGTAATATCAAATGGACTGTTTCTGCCCCATCAGTGGACCTCAGACATCATATTTAAGCATGGGAACTCCATTGAAATTATTCTGTAACATCTTGGTTTCTTTTTTAGAGCCATTTGTTGGCGTTGAAAACCGTTATCTATGAGGATTTAGTTCTTTTCCCATGTTCAGCCCTCAGACGACTACTAATCTTGCCATGTGAATGTTAAGTGCGATCCAGTTGCTTAAGGCTGTAAAATGCCCTGATGATGTCACCGCCAGCTGTTGATCCCCACCAAAAGTGGCTGTCATAGCTGAAGTGAAGGGCACCGGCACCAGCCGTGTCTTCAGGAATCTAATCTAAGTGGGTCTGCGTTTTTGCACCTGTCTGCAGCCGTGAGACAGAGATATTCAAACAGCATTATTGCAGGGCTCCCAGCTCACCCTGCAAGGCAGTGGGAACTAGCTCCTAGCCATTATTTTTTCCTTTAAAAATCTTACTTGATAACTTTAAGGCACAGTGATGAAGCAGCTGTTCATTGCAGCTTTCTCGGCTATGCTTGTTCTATGAATAAAATGTCCTATTCATGAGGACAAAAAGAATTTGAAAATATTTAAAATAAGTGAATTGAACAAACTGAAATTATCAAAGTCAAACCTCAGAATAGGCTGGGGGACGGGATATAGATAAGAGCTGGAATTGAACTCCACAGAAGATTTGTTTTCTTTTTTCAGCTACTTCATGGCTTTGCGGGAGAGGCACTGAGCAAGTCTGACACAGAAGATATTTCCTTGGCTTTGAAAGCCCTTGGGAATGTCGGACACCCAGCCAGCATCAAGCACATCAAGAAATTTTTGCCAGGATACGCGGCTGGTGCCTCAGATTTGCCACTCAAGGTCCACGCGACTGCTGTGATGGCCCTGAAGAATATAGGCTTGAAAGACCCCAAGATGGTAAGGAAACAGCTGCCTCCTTTGCACTTGTGGTACCCCAACACAAGGGTGCTGATCGATGATGGGTGAGGAGGGGAGAGCAGAGCTTTTTTTCAAATATACCTGTAATATGTTCTGTGTTTGGTTGTTTGTTGGGTTTTTTTTCCAAAAAAAATACTTAACCTTTCCTTAGTTGGCATGCCTTATTCCTTTTGAAATTAACCTCTAGTGTTTCAGACGGCAACAAAAATCCCATTAAAAGGATTCTTTCATTACCCCGTTGTTGATGACAAATCAGTATTTCCATTGCAAACATTTATTTTTCCAAGGACACGAGTCAAAAAGCTGACCTCATGACCAAAATGTGTTTAGTGCTACTTCAACTTTGGTATGTGAGAGAGCCACAAAACAAGGTTTTCAGAGAACTGACATTTAATACTGGGTGTCACATCTAATCGTAATTCAAGACCAGATCTTATTGTAAACAGACACTAGAGGTTTGCATCCTAATTACGAATTTACAGACATTGTGTGGGTTTAAGTCATAAACAGAACATTTACTAAATGTGACTTTTGTCCCTGAACGAGGTAATGATTAGGTAGCACATACAATGGTTACACAGGCATGCTCTCATCCACCACAGACATTGCTCTACAGTCATTTTCACCTTAAAGCAATCTGCTTCTAAAAGGAAACCTTGCGTTTGCAAGACATTTTTTTCCTGACATTGAATTTTTTTGTTGTTTTATGTAAGTCTATTCTTAATATAAAAAGTAAAATAAAAGCTTTCTGTAACTGTTCTCATACTAATCTGTATCAGTTTTTCCATTACACTAATTTTTTGCACGTGACTCCCAGTTTGAGTGCACATATTGATCCGCAGGCAATGGTGTGCCCGGGTATGCTTTTAAGCGAAAGAATAAAGAAACAATTTACCAGAGTGCAGGAGCTAGATGTGGAAAAGCGGCAGGGGGGGAGAGAGAATAGCAAAGGTAGGAGTTGGGGTATTTGCTGGGGGAGAAAAAGAGCCAGCTTGGTGTTTGAAAACAGTTCTCCATCTCTGATTGTCCTTCAGCCTGGATTTCCACATGTGACCCAAACATTTTCTATGCGTTTTCTTTAGAGAAAATTGATCTGGAACAAGTTAATGACTGTGACTGGATTTTTCATTGTTCAAAAACCAGTTTAATGCCTGGTTTGCAGCTCGCTACACACCCCTGTTTACATCAAACTGACTTAATACACAGTCTGTCTTTTTTTGTTGTTTAGTTTGAGAAGGAAGCTGCATTTAGAAAGAGGCTACTGCATCCTTGCCAGCAAGTCTCACCTTGGTGTTTGTTAACCAGCACGCTCAGACTGGCAACATCCTGACGGGTTTTGTTCAAGTTGGGTGAAGTTTTCTGGATCAGGCTTTTCACCAGAGCGCGCGGATGAGCGCTGTCCTGGCAGGACAGGACTGTGCAGAGGGGCTGCCGGAGCCCGGTCACACCATCCGCATCCGTATCGAAGCTGGGGTCAAAGGCTTCAGTGCAGAACTAGTCTTGATACTGAGTATTGCTGAGGTCCAACACATTGGTCACAAGTGCTACTGTGGAAATTACATTTGTTGCCTAAACTTTCAGTTTTAAGCTGCCTACATGGCAAAGAGATTTCCGGTAGTAAACTGGGTTTTATTCATATCATTTTTGTTCTGTTGTTTAGCAGAAAGGGCCCCAAGAGATCAAATGATTAGAAATAAGGCTTTATGGATAGGGATAAGTAATCACTGAAACCACTTCTCAGGTATGTAATGGGTCCATGAAATCTCTTACCTAGAGTGTTTACGCTACAGATATGTTTTGCTATAGCTGAAAGGAGGATAATAGACTCAATGTAGAAGTTATCCAGCAAAGTTCCTTGGCTTTGACTGGGTAGGAAGTCAGACTGCATTACCATAATGCCCCTTCCAGCCCTCAGACTGTGAAACCAGGAACACAGTTCTCATAATAATTAAATAATATAAATTTTTACTGTACTAGTGATGAAGAGATCGTTCACCGGTGATGAATCATTATTAGCAAGATGTCCAAACGTACTGTAAATCTGACTGTACGTATTATTTTCAGGTCCAGGCTATTACCCTTGAGATTTTCCTGAATTGCAAAATTCATCCTCGGGTCCGAATGTTAGCTGCAGTGGTTTTGCTTGAAACCAAGCCAGGTCTTCCAATAGTGATGACGTTAGCTGAGGCTGTGCTGAAGGAATCCAGCATGCAAGTGGCAAGTTTCATCTACTCGCACCTGAGGGCCCTGGGTAGAAGCACAGCTCCAGACCTCCAAGCGATGTAAGGCAAAGCTAGATCCCTTCCCTAGCTGAAAAACCATTTGTGAACTAGTGGAAGTGTTCATGGGCTCACTGAATTATTTTTTTTTTCAGGGCTTCTGCCTGCAGAATGGCTGTCCGAGCATTAAGTTCCCAATTTGACAGATCTGGATATCAGTTCAGCAAGGTTTTCCGCTTCAGTATGTTTAAAGGTAAGATTCAGAAGATTTTGTAGAGAAATAGATACAGGTCAATGTGTGAAACAATGGTACGGTGTGAGAACCCAATTCTCCTAGCCAGCTGGTTAGCTGCATGTTGCTCCTCCATATTCTCCTATGTTCAGTGAGAAAAAACCCAAAAAATCTGAGGCTCTGCATTTGGAGCGTTTAGGTCCCTGTGTGGTTTGCATTGTACACTGCCAGCATGAAATTACCAGAGGGCTTGTGGGGCTCTAACCCTCCATTTTCATCAGCCGGTGCGGCACATGCTCCTGTATCAAACGCTGTAGTCTCAGTGGTGCTTAACAATTTCATACCATTGTTCAGCACCAAACAAACAGAAGGGACCCAAATTACTGCTGAAGTGGATTAATTTCTACCCGTGCTGAACACCTACAACTCTTGCTGAATTCAAATGTGGTGCTAAACACTCTTCACCCCAACAGCAGCGCCCAGTGAAACAGCAGGCCTCGAAAACGGTCAGACGTTTCAATTCTGAAGATTTTTCTTGCACTTTCCTACCAGGATTCTCTACTGGAATGAGCAGATCCACGCTTGGGATCTGGAGACTGACCAGTTGCATCAATGGGAGTTGCACATAACAATGTAGTCAGAGCAGGGAGTACCAGATTAGAAGACAGCTCTTGCTGGGCCAGATTGCAGCGATTTCTATTTTCCACTATTTTATTTTTCTCAGTAGAGGTTGTTTAAACAACTCCCCTATGTAAATGACCACGACAGCCTCAGTGATTGGCATATGTAGCTGCCAGACTCAGGAGGTTATATCTACAACCACAGTCTCCTCACACATGCTGTTTATCTAGGAGGACTTGGACGTTTTTAGCACTTTTGTTATTCACTGGTACAGGTAAAGATTCTTTTCTAAGTAATCAATAGACAAGGAGACTCTGAAATGTCTGAAATCCACAGTGCTAAGTGTACAAGTAATTTGCCTTCTTTTTTGGGGGGGTGGGGTGGTGGTGGTGGTTTGAAAGACTTTATAGATCTTATTGTTGCCCTGCTCCTGTTTCGTGGTTTTTACATGACCATTTGATCTGCTCTATAACAAAAACAAACACAATACATACCACAACAACCACAGTAATATACGATACACATGCTTTGCTGCCTCAGAGATGGAGACAGAGTGTGCCCAAGGAATTACAGTCACTAATATGAACCACGTGAACTTTTGTACCATTTGAAGTGGTTAAAAACTTTTGTACCATTTAAAATCAGGGAGAGATACATTTCCCAGTAACACTCAGATGTGTGTTTCTAGTTTCAGGTGCTCGTTTTCTCCTCTTATTTTTCTTTTAAAATGACGCAAAGGAAGCGCGCGGTACGCGTGAGGGCAGCTGGCAGCGCGCTGTGCGAAGCAGGTTACTTTGTCCTGGCTGTAGCTGGGAAATGCAGCACCTCAGTGAGTTGCTGTTACTTCCTGGTGAAGACCAGCGTCAGAAATTCAGTGACCATGCATATGTGATATTTAGATCTCTCAATCCTGAAGAATAAGGAACAAAATCCTTGCTCACACGCGCTAATCTTAGACTTGGGTAACAAAGTCAGTCCCCTACTACACTGGTGCGGGAGGAGGATCCATCCTCCAGCTTTCTGATTTGATTTGTCACCGCTAGCCACAGGTGAAATGTGTTTCAGCAAGTCCATTCTGGAGGAGTTACCATAGTGACGGCAGCAATGCAGCACCTATTTCCTTGCTAAAAATGCAAGCGTGCCCTCAGCATCGCAGGTCTTTGTGGTGCCGGATGCTGAATTTTTAATGGCAGGCAATAATGTCAGCTGAATCTATCTCTAATCTGGAATCTGTCACACATGGCCACCACGAATAGAGCTTCACGCTCTACACACGGCTACGAAAATCAAAGGGGTGACCCAGGTCCTGCTCAATGTGAAGACTGACAGATTCTGACTCTCAACATGCACAACTTCATATAAATAAATACGCTTATTAATGTTCATAGGCACCAAAGACCACTTTCTTTGATCACCAGCTTGTCTTTCCCTCTTCCTTGGGGCAAGACAGTTAGTCAGATTTATGCAGGTGCCACCACGCTCTCACAGTGAAGTGGCTCCAGTGCATCATCTGACCATGTCGGGAGGTTTCTCCATTGGTAAATATATTCCTGGAGGATTAGCGCTATGTAATGCCCGAGGTATGGAAAATATCCTTGCTCTCTCTGAGTCCACGAATTCTGTATAATCATTTAATCATTTGTGAGCAACATTTCTTATTAAGTATCAGTAAGGACCACGGGTTTTGTTAACAAACGGTTGTGGTGGGTTAGAACACAAAAAAGAGCCTTAACAAATTCGCTAAAAGTACAGTGCCTCATTCTAGTGCCCAGCCCACGTAACACTGAGGGCTGCTCTGGCTGAACTCACTCAGAGAAAAACTAGTCTTCAGATTCCTGAGTCTCAAGCCAGTTTATTAGGAGTGTCCCAGTGTGGCATCGCTTTGCTTTTTATTTTCTATGGGATCAGCATTAACGGGTGAGCTTTTGTCGTGCCTCCTTGCTATCTGCTGAAGGTTCTGCACTGATTCCTCTGCCACCAGCGGGGTGGCACAAATACCCGTATTTTGACTGCAGGAGCTGTACCTACGCGTGCTGTAGGTCGATAGTGCCTAGCACAAGGTAGCACAGGAGCTTCATAGGGCCAAACAGTGGAGGTAATGTGGTGAAATGCCAGTTCACACGGATTTAGCAGACTGAGCGGATGGCTTTTCCAATAGACTGTGCCTCAAGTAGATGAAAAGATGGAATCTGCTCTGAGAAATCAGAAATGGAAATTAGTCCCGGCAATCTGGTACGAAACAGCTTAGCGCGAGGAGTAAACGAGGGTAAAGGACGGTCCAGATCCCTGTCTGCCCGCACGGGTTCGGAAGGGAATGGGACAGTGTTGACTCAGGAGTGAGGTGTCATCAGAAACGCAGAGAGCGGCACTAGAGAAGTAATACGGGCACGAGTATCCATAATGCCCCGCACTTGTGAACCAGGCAATAGCATTTCCTTTAACTTTTGGCTAAATAATCGATGAGAATTTAGGCACTCCTTTTCTGGAAAGAGGTCAAAGAGTCACTCCCTCTCGTAATGTTTGAAAATATATTTCCTACAGTTCATCAATAATTTCTCTACAGGTACTGAACTTGTTGGTCTGGATCTTCCAGGGCTCTGCAGTTATCCTGGCTGTAGTGGATTTCCAAAGCTGATTTCTGGTGGTGCCGGGATTTAATCAGAACATAACATGACGATAGCAGGAATTTAACATGGGGACTCCTAAAATACTTCCCTGTCCTCCAACCAGTGAGGAAGAGGAAAGGAGGGCTGGAAGAAAGGAAGTACGACAGGGATGACTACATATCGTGTCAGCCTTGTTCCTCTTGAAACCTAAGGAAACTTAGAAAAGCCTTGGGATTATTTCACCTCAGAAAACAGGACTGGATAGAACTGTGCCAGGATCAGGAAGAATACCTGACTGCTCTGCACTGACTACCTGTATCTAAGAACATTATAGATTATAAATCTAAAGCAGAGAAAATAAATAGACACAAATTATGTTTGCTCAAAGTTCACTCAATAGTTAACGATTCCTTAACAACCAGTGCGTTTCATGGCAGGAGTTACAGCATTTGGAACTAGATGTATTAAATTGCCTCTGAGTCATTTGAGAGACAAATCTACACCTCACCATCTGTCCTTACAGGACATCTATATCACTTTCGCTAAACTATTAGTAAAGGATGGCAAATCTGTTTTCATTCCTGATCCCCTTTGTCAAGTTGTCCTCAATGATGTCTCATAAAAGCGGTCTATAAGCTGACGTTACAGGACCTGACCGGATGTAAACACTACAGCAGAGGCGATTGGAAAAACAGCATAACCACCGTGCGATGAACAGGGGGCTTGTAATTTTGCCCATTAATAGCTCAAAAACACAGAATATTCTGTTTATGACTGTTTTGTAACATCGGTTTTACAGCTGGGTATTCTGGCCTTTCTCATGTCATGCTGTACCAGTCGAACTACGTTAGTAGTTAGGTTAGTAAATTGATGCAATCTGCACACCGTGGCTTTAAAAACTAACTGTGCTGTGGTTTACTGCCTGTTTCTCCTCAGAGTTCCTTATGAGTGGGCTGGCAGCTAAATATTTGGTATTGAATAACGCGGGCAGCTTAATTCCCGTGACGGCAATGTCCCAGCTGCGGACACACTTCCTTGGAAGAGTGGCTGATCCCTTGGAGGTAATTGGGCCTACCCACAGTTTGCCCTCTCATCGCTTCTTACGACCGTCATCCAAGCGGCATTTGCACTTTACTTCTTCCCCCAGGTGGGAGTAACGGTTGAAGGCCTGCAGGAGATGTTTGCTAAAGGTTACTCTCCTGACAGGGACTGGGAGGCTGACTATGACTTCAAGGACATCCTGAAAACGGTAAATTCTCGGGGAAGAGCAAGGCTCTGAGGTATTGCTTCCCCACATGTTATGAGCAATGAGACTTTCTTCCTCTTCTCACGCAGCTCTCTGACTGGAAGGCATTCTCCAGTGACAAACCTTTTGCATCAGGCTACTTGAAGATGTTTGGCCAAGAGTTGTTCTTCGGTGGACTTGACAAAAACGCCATCCAAAGCGCATTGCAGGTATCTTTTCAAAACCACAGCCACCCAAGCATCAAAAGCTTTAAAGCACTGTTTCTTTCATGCATTCTCTCCCTTTCTGTAACTTCTTAATTCAAGAGGGGGTTTTGTCTTTAGTATTAATCAAGGCAAATGCGGTCAAGCTTTGATCAGGATTAGCTATAATCATTGCTGGCAGACTTTCCCCTGAGGCATAGTTAATGACACAGATCACGATATTCAAGTTCTGCTTATTTAGACAAGTTGTCTAATGTAATTGCAGGCATGGTATGGGCCTGATGAAAAAATCCCTTCGATAAGGAGAATAATCAGTAGCCTTCAAAGTGGTATGGGGAGGCAGTGGACCAAGGCTTTCCTGGCCTCTGAGATCCGTCGCATCGTGCCCACCTGCAGTGGGTTCCCGATGGAGACCAGCTTCTATTACTCTTCTGTCACAAAAGTGGCAGGAAATGGTAACGTATTTCACGATTTGAGCAATACAAAGGTGCTTGTCAGGATTGAGGGGGATTTTTAACACTTTTTCGCTTTCTTTGTAATAGTTCAGGCACAGATTACACCTTCTCCCAAGTCTGATTTCAGATTGACGGACTTACTAAATGCCAACATTAGGCTGCGATCCAAAATGAGTCTAAGGTAAATATTTCGTGTAAAATAGAAGAATAGTATTTCCGAATGGCAGAGGCCATAAAAATTGAGCAGCTGTTTGCTGTCTGAACATAATTTTACCCTCATTCTACCTTTTCAGCATAGCTAAGGAGATGACCTTTGTAATGGGGATCAACACGCACATGATCCAGGCAGGGCTGGAAGCACACACCAAAACGAATGCTCACGTACCTGTGAACGTTGTTGCCGCTGTCCGTATGAAGGAAAAAGATATCAAAATTGAAATCCCACCATGTAAAGATGAGACTAACGTAATTACTGTAAGGTAAGACATAGCCCTTTTTGTCTTTCCATGTAGCAATGCAGAGTCTTTTCCAATAAAACAGAACATTTGCTTAGGGATCTTGTCTTTGACTGACAGCTTGGGTAACTGGCAATGATTGGTGTAGTGTATTTATTTTAAACGAAGTGACATGTACCAAAGCTTTGCTTGAAAATATGCATTATTTCCTGTGGTCTTCACCTGAAAATCCTCTTTAGGACCATTTCTCAGTTGTTGAGAACCATAAGCTATTTGAAACAAAAATGGCATAAAATTTCTATCCCAACGCATATATTTGGACTGGAGACACTAGTTAAGATATAAGCCAGCTGAATCCTATCAGTTATAACCCATGCGCATCTGCGTTTGGTGCTTTGAAGCATAGAGGGTTTGGTGTTTCTTGTGCTTTTACCTTGTTTCCCTGCGGCTGCCTTTTGGTTTTCTTACCTGTTAGGTCTACTTGATTTATTATCAGTGCACGCAATTACAATACACTCTGGAAAACTGTTGTAGCCAGATGCCGAACAAATGAAAACAGATGGAAATGCAAGCGCAAAGAGAGGGAGGAAACAGAAAGAGTATGTCCAAGGAATCAAAGCAGTAGACTAAAGCTTAGAAAACCTTCACACACACACACACAGAAAAATACTAAGACAAGCCGAAAATTCATCACAAAGGACAAAGCATCACTGACAACAGAAATGAGCTATTATAGAATCTGCAGAAATGTTAACAAGTTTCTGCTCTAGGAATACAACTGTAACAAAAAAGCTCAGTTACTGGATCCAGCTGCAGTTAACATTCGTGGCTGCTGACCTGGACAAGCTCTGCAGGTCTCCCCAGTTCAGCCACCGGTTAGGCTAATCATTATTGTCCCTTACCCTCCAATGGTCACAGACCATCCTAGCAGGCGTTTGACAGCATAGCCTCCTCCCTAAGGTGATTCCTCCACTCCACCAAAGGTCACTGCAATCGGGCTCTCCGTGCAGAGGAGGGTGGGTTTCAGCAGTTCACAGAGAAAAAGTTATCTGCGGGTGAGCTGCTGGGGCACCACAGCCCAAAAGTTTCCTTCCGTTTCTTGTGAAGACCAGGACAGTCTGCCTCCAAGGTCATCAGGGACGGCAGGGACCTGCTCTCGCCAGCTCTCGCTGTTGGAGAGGGTGAGGCGGATATTAATGAATGCAATACGGATGCTGAGAATATTGGGCGCTGATACGGGAGCCTCAAGCAGAGCTGCAAGCGTTAGCAGAAGGATCCTCCCTGCAAAGCAAAATAAAAAATATTTTCCTCCTTCAACTGAAGGGGAAATCAGATCAGACACAAAAAGGGTTAAACGCATCGCCAGAAAGCATAAGCAAGCCAGTATCAGACGCAAGGGATTACAGCAGAGAGTTCCAGCCCAAGCCCTGCTCTAGACCCTGCAGCATTATCATTTATAAAGTGAAGTAGTCACTTGGAAATAGCTCTATAATGCCGAGTAGATGGGAAAGCTAATACTCACTAGCTAACTTTTAGCACCATCAATTTTTCTCCAAAAAGCGTTCCTGTTCACTGTTACAAAACAAATGGTCAGCGGAAACCACACAGGGCAATGAAACCGCAATGAGCACAAGTGAAGGCAGAGCAATAACTAGAGACTGTAACACTGCACCACATCACCGAGGAGGTCAAAGACCGAGCAAAGTGAAATCTTAAAGGTATGAAGAGAAACTGGCAGGAATGATAGAAGGAGAAGGACACGTATATATATTCCATATAGAATGAGACAAAAATTTCAGTTTGGCCTCGACTTTCCTTCTGCACAGATCTACCCAAAGAATAAGGAGCTTATTCATTGCAATGTTTGAGAGAGATCCTGACACCTTCCCTTGGTAGCTTTAAACGCCCCAATTAGAGAAATGGTTCTAGAAAGCTATTGCCCTTCCATTTGTTTGTGAGCTCTGTTCAACGTATCTTAGTACTGGGCACTTGGTCTTGATGGTCAGCAGGTTGCCTTCCGCAGCACCGTGTCGTTAAAGCTAGTCAGGATGTGATATTATTTTTCCCTTCATCTCTCACATTCAGACACAGGAAGCAAACAGTCTTCAATAGCATTAAGTTCAGTTCTATCCTACGCACAGAACAGGTTATAACCTGTCACAGCTGTGGGATTTATAAAAATTTTCAGGAGCGGAAGAGAAACTGAGGTGAGCAATTGCAGACACTAAAGAAAAAAAAAATAATGAAAACTTTGGTGATAGAGAGGTCGCGTTCCCAAGACAAATCAGCACATTATGGACTTGACTTTCTTTATAGCAAATCAGAGCAAAATGATTAATCATACCATGGAGAGAGTATAGCATGTGTTTCAATTCAATCCCATCAAAGTTAAATTCAATTAAAAATAATAGTTATTTTTAAGGCTCTTTTAACATAATTATTTAGTGTACTACAGATGGCTACTTAAACAACTTTTAAACAAAATTTACAGGAAGAAGTAAAAATCAAATAAATTTAAGGGAAAATTAGAGCCCTGTGATTAAAGAATGGATATGGAGAGCTGCCAGAGAACGCACTTTGCAAATATATCACATATTCGTAATGACAGGCTGCTGAAGCGTCTACATAATCTTGAATAGAGCTTGTATCATAGGGCTTTTTTGCTTGTTTTAACTGTAGGATAAGCAGAAATTGCTTCCCATGGGCATCTTATTGATAAGCTGAATTACGAAATTACAACACTGAGTACAAGATGTGTACAGCATGAGTAGCAGCACGTGCGGATGGGCCAGCGAACGCCGGGAGCTCGCCAGGCAGCGCGGTGTGTTTGGGGACAGAGAAGGGAACTGGCTGGTGCTCCAAGCCTCTGTTTTCATAACGGCTTTGCACCAAGGTCAGAAGGACGATGAGTAGGAAAGGAGACGTTTTCGTTTGACCGCAGCAGAAAGAGAGCAGGATCTGGCTGGAGGACTGTCTCTTTCTTCTCATTCATTTAGATGCAATGTCACGCTGTGCTTTAAAACCTGGGAAAATAGTTTTTCACTGGTTTTATGTTTTGTTTTGAACAGACATTGAGCTCTTCTGTCCCTATGTTGGGGACGTCCATAAGGCCACGCTCACAGAGACATCAGCCCAACACAGCTGAATTGCTTGTCCCTTACCCCTGCAGTGAATTTGGCTTATACTATAGCACAGCTTCTCCTCTCATCCAAAAAATACACTAATACATATTGGAAAATCTCCTTTTTATTTTTTCTCCCTTGTGTGGGATCAGAGAGAGCAGATTCTTTCATACCATAGCTTTAGGCCTTCTTTGTGACTGTTTTTCTTGTTAAAGCACCAGAGCTGGCTCTTGTAGCCTATTTTTACCGTTCCGTGTGATTCTGCAGACATTGACATGTGTCACCTGTGATGCAGCTACATTTGTCGGCTCTCTGTGCTCAACAGGGAGGAATCGATCCTCCACTTTCATTAGGTGGCAGGAGTAGACTATTGGCATAAAAAATACCAAAAAAAAAAAAAAAAAAGGAAAAGAAACCCCAGGGCTTTCTGCTTGGAGACCCAGCCTGCAGCTCAGTGGTCATTTGAATTATTGAATGGGATTAAAATAAAAGCCATTTCCCTTTCTGTCCCTTTACCCAGATGAGCCATCTGAAATGCAAGTTGATTTGTATTTTCTTTTATCCCCTCAGCTTGTTAGGGAGAATATTTTATTTCAGATTCCATTCTTCAAGGTTCTCCTATCACCCAGCATGGAGCGTTGCTGTCATGTCCTTATCTAAAAAAAGAGAGAGATGGAAAAGAAAACAAAGCCCACAGGTGACACACGTTTTATTGAGGTGTTCCACATGAAGAGCAATTGTGTGCTTTACAGTGCACACAGCACAGCGGGAGCCTTCAGGAGGAAGAGAGGGCTATCAGATGAATAAAAATTCATCTTTCAAATAGGTTAGATTGGAATTGCTCAGGCTAGTACAGTGTGGACCATATTAAAATAGAGACTGTTTGGCAGACCACCTTTCTGTTCACTGCCACAAAGGCCACCTCCATTGGCAGACCACAAAAGCCCCAGGGCAAGCAGATCAACCTTAAACTTGAGAAACAGCACGTGGGGAATTTTGAGCAGGATGTTCGCACTGATAAACGGCTAATAAGGTAGAGTTAGCACAAGCCAACAGCTGAGGGAAATAGGTTTTCATCTCTCAAAACTGTTCAGCATTTAAGATGTTTCTCTGACCCAAAACAAAACCCATAGTTATCACAGCACTGTAACAACTTCCACGTGAAGAACGTGGGGGATGGAGCCAGGGGGTCGGCATATTTAGCCGTGAGAGTCTCCATCTCATGCTGCACCTTGCGTCACTCATCCTGGATCCTGACGAACACTCTCAGAGTCCACACCACTGGAACCAACGTGCTGAACTCACTCACATAATCAGGCTCTTAACCTTCCTGCACATCTCTGTGATGTCTGGCCAAGCCATGAGTACCGGTGAATTTTCATCAAGCTGGAGACACTTACTTTGAAGATTTCAGGCTCCTTTCTTTAACACTGCTTTAACGAACGTTGCACAGGAAACAACATTCAGTAGCCACCAGTCCCCAGGTTTTTTGAAGTTATGGCAGTGTTTTCCCAAATATAATGTCAAAGGAAATGAGAACTCATCTCAGCGGTGAACGCGCAGAAGATAAGTTGAAAAATTTAAAAGTCCAGGAGATCAAAATAGGAGACTCAAAAATTTAATCGCGTAATCCACAGCCAGGCTTCTAAGAAAGCGGGCTGTTCTTCCAGGTGTTAGGCACACAAAAGTCCCATTAACTGCAACGCTTTCAGCACACACACATGATTCTAGAAGCCTGTCTGAGCTCCCTGCCCCTGAGATAGGTCCATGCCTGTATTCATTCTTAACAGCCCTTGAAAATACAACCAACAGGAAAGATGCTGTAAATATCTGTAAAGCAATTTGCAAGGTATGATACTTGTTGCTGGGTACGTGCTACAAGGCACTGTTCAGGTCTTTTCCTCAGCAGGGCTTTATTGATGCAGGTTTCCTCTAATGTTTATTCCGCAGGTCTAAGACATTTGCTGTTACGCGAAATATCGGGGATTTGGCCGCTAGTAAGATGACTCCAGTTCTCCTACCCGAAGCAGTGCCTGATATAATGAAGGCGTCCTTCGATTCCGATTCCGCATCAGGCGAGACTGATAACATCAGGGTAAATGATGTAGTGTCTGACTATTCTTTTTTGGGCTTTTAATCGCTGGGAGACTCTTTCTTTTCTCTATAGGAAAATGTACAATTCATCTCTGACCAATGCTTCTTCCCTCAAAATAAGTCAGGTTCAATCTAATAACACAAATAGCCCTGTAGTAACATTATTTTAAAATCTGGAGTGTAATCTATCAGACTCGCAGCACTGGTTCAGAAGCAAAAGCATTTTCTCTGGTAATTAATTTTACACTGCCATCTACAGGACAGGCCCACAATCCTTCAAATACCAGGCAACCATTACGCAAGTGTCACATTCCTGGGGCGGCCACAAAACGCTCCGTTGCTCGCTTGTAGAGCCAAATGTGATGTTTATAAGCACCCTGATTCGAGGATGGATGGCAGCTTGTGTGCCAAGCCCGATGACTTCCTGAGCTACGGTTTTCTGTAAAAGCCGGTACAGGCTTTCTGTGATGGGCAGCCTTGTGAAGGCGTCACCGTGACAGTCCACTCAGTGAGTGACTGACAGGGGTGAGGAATGTACTGTCCTGTTCTGGTTTCATTGTGGTCCTGCCACTCTGAAGGGTTTTCAGACAAAATAAGAATCAAACAGAGGATGAGCACAGCGCTGTCCTATGGAGAAGTCAACAGGCAAACGTACTCTCAGCGAGAGCAGTTTCCAATGGCCTGGAACAAGCAAAGGTCTTCTGCTTTGTGCCTCTGCGCTGCCCTTCCTGAAAACCCAGCTCTCCGCAATTATTCTTAAATGAACAGCGACTGAATAACGGCACTAACGGGAGCATTTCCCAGTGTCATTAGAATTTCCTTTGGAAAATAAATATTGGCATTAAAATTCCAGTTTTTCGGTAGGGTTCATACAAGTTTGGAATCCTGCGAGACATCGTAAACTGAGCAAAAAATTAATTGCAAACCTGTATTACATGTGAAATTAAAGCTTGTGATTATGTGTTTTTTAGCTATTTGCTTCGTTGCTCCAGGAAATCACAGTTTTCATTTCATGGATTTGATTCTAATTTTCATTAATTTTAATTTGTTCTTCTGCAAGCATTGCTTAGCACGTGTAAATAGTTTTGAGTGGAAATTTCTGACATCTAATATGCTTTGACCGTCTAGTTGATGTGGTTTCATGTGTGTGTCAGACGTCAACTGAGAGAGATTTTTCATGGACATAGGTGAAGAGCCTGTTGTTTGACCCAATCAAAAATCAAAAGCAAGAACTTCAGTCAGTCTAGAGCACACTCAGACTTATTAGGAACCTGTTAACACTGTCTAATACTTCAGGAAAACAAAATTAAATATTTAGAATCAATTTGTAATGTAATTTTCCATTCTTAGAGCCTGAAGCTCTTTTTACACTAGATAGTCTAATCAAGCCATTCAGTTTATAATGTTGTCCAGCTGAAAACCAAGTTGTCCTGTGTCACGGCCTTGCTATCTAGAATAAACTGGTTAAATCTTCCTGCAGAATACATCTTACTGTCACCAAACCAGAACTCATCACATCAAGTGTTCCTTACTTTGCCCAGTCTAACCTGACCTGCGTGTCATCCAACAGGACAGACAGCCTGCAGAAGATGTTTCATCGGGAAATTCCTTTTCTGTTGGAAGCTCTCCTTCCCAAAAAGAGCCGTTTGTTCAGTCCATGTGCTCCAATGCAAGTACATTCGGGGTGCAAGTGTGCGTGGAGAGGAAAAGCGTACACGCAGCATTTATCAAAAACGTGCCTCTCTATTACCTGGTTGGGGAGCACGCCCTTCAAGTGAGCTTCAAGCCAGGTAAATGCAACAGGGCACAAAAAAGAAAGCAGTGGGTGGGTGGGTAGGGGGTGTGTATATACACATACGTGTTTGTACACCTACAGAGATACCTGTTGTACCCCAAGTACCACTAAAACTGCCGTTAGACCTACCAGCCCTACCAGTACAGGCAACAGGCTACGCTTGTAGCAGGAATCCATTTCCCCCCTAACGTGTCTGAGCAGCAGTTTCCCAGCTCTCCCAGCAACGCCGCTCAGCAGGGCCAGCATCAAGCAGAGCTGCTCTGTGCCCGCAGAGTGTGTCTGATGCTTCCCGAATCATTGGATTTGGGACGCCAGCACAGAGCAATTGGACATGGGCAACAGATCTGATGCGGAGTCCTGTAGCTACATGCTAAAAACCCAGACTCTTAAAGGGAATTATGGATTAACCCTGCCAGGATCTAGTCCTTAATGTCTTAATCCATGATCATAAGAAGCAAAAGCACAGCAGGCCACTGAATCTAGGTCTCCTGAGTATTACACTAATGGCCTAACCATTGGGCCATTCTTTACAGCTCAAGAGTTGAGCCTTGGTTCCTCTCTGACGTCTAACTCACTATCCCATGGTGATAGCTAGTTCAGCGGTCCAATTCTTGACTGAAATCTGTTGATCATTCCATTTGTTGACTTGAAAAGAATCTAGTATCATGCTGATGTTTTAAAATGTGGTTGTTGCTAGCCTGTGCTTTAGCTGTTGCAGAAAATTTTTAACAAAGTTGCTCAACATCAGAAATAATCAATGAGCATTTATATTTTTGTTTGGGGAAGAATGGCTAGATAAATTATACCAAAAATTGGCTTATTCTGTTATTCAGTTATTAATATTAATGGTTTTGCAATTTCAGTTTACACAGAGGCACCTATTGAAAAAATACAAGTCACAATTCAAGCAGGAGACCAAGCTCCTACAAAAATGGTACGTTTAGTAACGTTTGAAGCTCCAGAGGCACAAGTATCTTCTAGCAAAGATGCAATTAGAAGAGTGAAGAAAATCCTTGATGATACCAATGACCAGGTACTGCTGTAAAAATCTACTTCTAGACTTGTGGGAGACATTACACGAAGCTCAGTTATTTGTATTTCTTTTTGAAGTAGCTTCCTTTGTTTAGATAGTAAACAAAAATTGGAAAATAAAGACAGGGGTTTGGGTATGCCACTCTTTCTGCAGGTCTTTTGTTTGCATGCGTCTCTTCTGCAGGTGAAGGACATTAGAAAGAGAAGGTTGGTTTTGTAGCTTTTTCTGAAAATCTCTTGTAAGACACAAAATAGCTGTTGTGTGCCCCAAAGGTAGTCTGTTCTTTCCAGCTAGCACAACTGCAGCAAAAAGGTATGACTCCTACCTACACAGCTTGCCCTGTGTGAGACAGTCACTGCAACGGCGTGGTCGTTACCAACACTAGTTCCATGTAATTGCATGGCCAACAATTTCTACGCGTGTTCATTATCACGAAAGAGTTTGAGATGCTGTTCTACTTATGTGTGAGTTTAACACATTATTATGGATGTGCCTTATTGTGATGTATTTCAGGAATTCTCTCAGGTGTATATCTTGTCTTCTAAGGCAGCAAAGAGGTTCACAGCTCTCTGTGTCTGATTTTACTTACAGCCTTCTGCAGGAACACAGAAAATAATTTTGTTTTTCCAATGGTACCATTGACTAGGGGACAAGAAAATCCAGAAGCTCATCATCCAGTGCCAGCAGCGCCAGTGGAAGCGCCGAGAGTACAACGAGCAGCCCCTCCAGCAGCGACTCTGACAACAGAGAGGCGTGGAG